CGAATCTTTTCCTAGAGGCGATAATTGAATTGAGTAGAGAATGACGACTACACGAAGATGTTGAGCATGCAGATCGTGTGAAAATACGGAGATTCTTTTGCTCGTCCGTATAATTTTGTGACTCTTCAGCTTGACGGCAAATCTGACTTTTCAATTTCTTCCTTTTCTTTTATATCCTGCTCTCCTTGTTTATCTTTTCCGGTTCCTTTCTTTTTCCTTAAATTGAAGCAAGGAAAAGTTTCACTGAAACGAAGACAAGACATGGAGTCCATCGTGTAAGTCAAAACAATTTTTTATCGGAAATATGAGGCACGTAACCTTGTGCCTACTCGATTACAGCAATAGTGAAATTAATTTGCTCCTTCCTTCGTTGAGTTGAACAAGGTATGAGAAATTTTTAGAGCTTTTAGGGTCTGGTATCGCGCATATACGGTACTTGGCAGACCTATTTCACCCTTACAGCTCATCAGCAGTACGGTGCCTTTCGGCTCAACCGATCCACTGAAGCGGTTGGGGGTATATCCCTACTTATGAAGGTATCGTCGCGGAATTATTTGATATACCGCATGCCGAGTTACGGAATTCCGCGACATTGCAATGAACACAGCGGAGCGATTATGGCTTATAGAATGAATCGCTTCCATTTTCGACCATTTATATACGATTTCTTTATAAGTAAGCGTATGTATATACCCTTGCAAAGGATCGGCTGAACCGAAGAGCACCGTACTGATGAGCCCGGAATGACTAAACAGGCCTACCCAGTATTGTATTCATGCTATAGCAGACCTCATAAAAGGCTTCAAATATGTTATCATATTGTCAAATTGTCATTGTTTTCAAGCGAGGTCTATATGAACAATCGAAAATGAAGCGATAGAAGGATTGGATTTAGATTTTGTCCTCTTCCACTACTTATTTTCAACTATTACCTAATCCACTGTACTATACAGCAATCCATTGTATCAAACAACGAGCTGAAAAGTTCAGGACTTGAAATTTGAAACACAATGGATTTGAGTCAGTTAATCATCTTGCTAAATCAGTATTAGGGACGGAGTAACGCAATGCTTGGTGATGCGTTGTATCAAAAGGCAAGCTGCTGAAAAAAGGAGCTGATTCGATCCCCTCTCTAACACTCTTTTGCAGTCAACTAGCGAACATCGTAGGGAATATAGTGAACGCCAGAGCTCGGATATCTTCAAGATGGTGAGTAAAAACTTTCCAACAGCACTTACCTTGATAAAGAAATTCCTTCAGTCACAGGTGAGACAGCTCACGAACTGTTCGACGAACTTTCACATTCGAATCACTAGTAGATCTCATAAGTGCTATCTGAGCCAACTTGTTAAGTGATCTGTTTGATTTGAGCATGGTCTTAAGAAAACACTTTAGAACGGTATAATATATTTCAAAATATCAGCCAAGAGCAATCAAGTGTACAAAACTGCTGTTCTAGTGATTTCCACTTAACAACAGTGCAGTGTAAATCGTTCGTCGTCGCTAGCTCTTCGTGTGGGGACTGGAGCACCCACAGAGGATTGGCTAAAAGATAAAGGGTTCTGCCCGGCTGATGAGACTGTAAAATCGAAACACGTGTATCGAGCTGCACAAGAGCCCATTTAACACAACTTGGCTCTGATAGCAGTTATGAGATATGCTGAAATTTTTGCGTGGTCTTGAGAAAACACTCAAAAAGAACGATACGTTAATAAAATCGACGTTTTATTGACATTTTACTAATGAAAGCGGGCACAATTTGCGTGTCTAAACATGATTTTGCCCAACAATAAATTCCGCTCAAACGTTCAACAAATGACGTAAGCAGAGAAAAATAATTCCAGTCTACTAGTCTTTTCTTGTTGGTAGAAATTATCTCTAATCATAACTGTTTTCCGATTGCCTACAAGCTTTCTTCTGTGCCTTTTGAAAGTGAAGGAGACGTTCTTTTGAAGCTACGTTTCAGTACATTCAATCGGACATAGAGAGTAGTGAGAAATACTACAGTGATGTTCTATGGGATGGTGATATATTTGATTCTTAAAGTCGTTAATTTCATCGTCTGTAACCTCTCTTTTTCTCACCTCTGCCTTTACCTCTATCCATATCTCTATTCATCTTTCCCCTTCCATTATCGTTCCATTCCAATAAGTTCTATTTTCGTCAGGAGAATACAAGGTGTGAAAGGATATCACATAAATAATTGATCAAATGAAGTTTTGCGCGTTCGTTTCGACTTTCGAACATTCATCACAAATCTTTATCTCATTCCTCTCGCTCTCTTTCCCTTCGGATTCGCTCTTTGTTTCGCTCGCTCTTTAATGGTTTCTTTCTCTACTTGTTATTGAGTATAGTACGTGCTAAACCGTCACACTTTTCCAGATTTAAACGAACAATTTACAACTGTGCAAATATTCAGTTCCACATCTCCTCATGTGTGTCACAACAGAGCTAAATCAAATGTGTTCACACCTCAACCTGCCTGTCGGAACGACCTATGGCCGTCCTTAGCCGAGTAGCAGTGTGTTTACCTCTATCACTTTTATTTTTTTCTCAAAATTTTTTCCTGCTGAAATTTTCTTGGTTCATTTGCTTTGAAGTCGTTTTATGTTACCGCTGAAAAGATTTCTTCATGTTGTGCACATCAGGTCAATAATTTACTGTCTCATCGTGTTTAGAGGGCGGTGTTTGGAGTGTTTATTGAGAAATGTTATGTGGAGGAGGAATGATTGCTCAAACACTGTTTTTCAAGTTGAAGATGACTTCAAAGTTACTATTCAGAAACTCAGTAGAAGACAAAATTCATGCTTTGGATTGTCGCCGTCATAGAATGAATCCTGTGATGAAAGTTCCTTCCTCAATTTGCTAATACTAATGCGATTCGGGATTTTGGTAAGAATATCTTCAAACTGGGAAAATGCTTGGAGGAAATGTGCTACGATCTGGTAAATTCTCTTCCAAGAAAGGCCATCAAAGAAAATGAATAGAGAACGGCACCAGCAGTGACGTCGAATGGGATGGTAAAACGTTACACTTCTGCGTGCAGGCAGATAGTACATCGCTACACATAGTGTTATGTTATAATAACTATCTTTCACCAAGCACATCATTCCATAGGAATTCTGTTGTCTACCGATTACATACCAATAACAAAAGTCTCATGCTCAGCTTATGCTCTTCACGCCAACAAAGGGGTCTACGTTTTCTTATCAACATCTCATTGTAATTTGAGATTGCTCGATCTCATTCGACGTGAGAAATTTTGGATCAAATGAGCTGCTGTCCTTCTGGATACCTCGACAATTCCTTAGGCTCGTCATTCACAATTTGCTCAGTCTCGGTGTGAGACTTTGGTTGCAATGAATGAAGGATGAGTTGTTTTTTTGGAGCAACGAGCCATAGAATTATTTTCGGACGTATCACTGTAATGATTTCTTGGATCGCTTCTATATTTTCCGCAGTGAAATTCAAATTGTTTTTTTGTTTTCCTACTTGTCGACAGTGTTCACATCTTATTGGAATATTTGCAATTACACGCAGGTGTGGTGATTTGATTAATTTTCAATCGCCGATTTTTTAAAAAGCAAGAGCGTAAACTAAACTGGACTTCGCTGTGCGATCACAAGCTTTATTTTTTCTTGCCTCTTTAACAAAATTGATTCTTCTATGAAAAGCTCTCGGACCTTATCAGAATTGAAACGAGACGATGTCGACGAACGAATTATCTTTGTGTTATATGGTTCTCTGTTGTTTCTCAATAAGAACTTATTGCAAAGTAGAATCTAAAATATGGAACATAGTGGAATCTTATTCGAAATTCTTGTTTTTCATAAAATAGTCTCATTTCCTTGAAATACGTGTGCTGTCACTCCCAGGTTACGGTAGTTCGTGGGTGTTCCATTAACTAGATTTAGCATAATTTTTTCATCAGCGATCAGTTCTAAGGGCACGTGTGCGCAGCGTTAAAATGTACTTTAGGATACAAACAAATATCGCTATTGGTTCCTTTTATTCTACACCGAGCTAACCAACCATCAGGAGGTCCAGCGTAGGCGAATGCTGGATTTTCTGGAAAGATATTAAACACTAAATTGCTGCTTTGTCAGGCTCCATAAATTACTGTAATTCATTCAGTCACCTCTAGAATGCTCAACTGGTTGTGGATCATGGCACATGCACAGAGATTAGTCGATAGCGAACGCTTTAGTCATTTCTGTGTGAGGTCCTCTAAAAAAATTCCTCGCGCTCATGTCAGTCATTCCTTGTGTTCTGAACAAATTATTCTTCAGTCACTCAGCTGACCAATCGATAAGTCAAAATCAATTTGGAAATCCAAATAGTCATCTTTTTCATTTGGTGAGTAGAGTACTCGAAGCGTTGACTGCTCAAAGGATTGATAGAGGCGACTGTATCTGCCATTACAAACGCACAGAGTTTCTATGAAGTCCCAACAGCAAGAAACAACTGGGTTTTAGGCACATCAAAATCATAAATTTTTCTGTGAAGAATGATTGCCAACAAAAATTGGATACTATTACTGGATTGTGAGCGCTTGTGGCGCAGTGGTTAGAGGTGCTCTGCGTCGCACATGAGGTCAATGGTTCGATCTCGCGCTCATGGCTCACCAAGCCACGCATACTTTTGCGGTCGGTAAATTGGTACCAGACTGGTCTTGGACTTGTCTGAGAGGATAAGCAACACTGGCTCGGTTCAGCGGGAGGCCACCACGAGTCATTTCAAGCCCAGATATGCATTAAATCACCTCAAACGAAGTCAAAAATTTAAGACGAATGCATGGCGCATCAGGGATTGAACGCCGAGAGCTTTATCCTTTATCGTTCATTACTGGCTTGGCCTGGTGACCACATATCGGTATTGAACTCAGTTACGTTGACAAATATTGCATATATGTGATGATTAAGATATCCTTCAATTTAACCACCTAGCGAACGTATGATCCTATAAATGAATTTTATCAAAGTTGAGTGATATACTAGACTTACTTCAGACGGGAATCGACCCGTATTTTACCCTTATCGGGGGCGCGTGCTAACCAGCTGCACTACCAAGGCTCCTGTAGCTATCACTCTTTCTGCAGTGAAATAAATACATGCCGATATATTTTCTCTGCTTTAGTTATCCATGACAATCTGTAATAAGCCAACATGAATACTGCGTTACGAGGAAAATTCGGCACCTAATACGGCTTTGAATCAGATTTCCGAGAGCTCAGATATTAACCACTACAACATCTAGTCCTCCACACCATCATTCTTTGTAAAATGTCATGATTTAATACGTAACTTGTCTTAGATATCTGTTTTTTTTTGTAGTGGTGCATTTGAGTATTAGTACTACATGAACTGAAGGCAAAATTAAGTCAATCCTTGGTGGAACGAGAAGAGACAACAAGATTTGATCGATAACAAGCTACAACCAACTCTTATCAGAGTTTCCAAGAACGACCCATCTCTTAACCTCGGCTTTTCCACAAATTTCTGCTTTTCTTTTTTATCAGATCCCTTCTTTTTAGAGTTGTTGAAGACTTGCTGGTCAAACATAATTGAAGACAACTATGAGGTCGAAGTAACAACAATTAGTGTAGTTAGGAAAAAGACATAAACCCATGGATTCATCTATTGCATTCATTTATACGAATGGAGTAGTGGCAGAGTTGCCATTCGATGCAAGCATGATCGCTTCTTCGACCGCGAAACCCTGTTCATAGGTTGACTGCCATCCTAAAAAGCCAGAGAATGAACCCCATTCGAATGCATTATCCTGATTTGGAAGATGCAGAGCAAGTACGCAACTCACTAGAATATCTATGATAGTGATGATCATCAATAACCTGAGCAGTTAGTGTTGTACCTTGGGCAGCAGAGTGCACTGAATGATATGTGACACCACTTCCTCAGGTCATGACTTTCTTTTTATTCCCTATCAGACAAGAACGATCTTTTTGGGCAAAAATCGGGAGAGGTGGAGCTTTTTTGATGCATTGGTTGAGTGCTTTCATAGGTGCCATCCACTACGGAAATTACTTCATCGTGCTCTAGTGCACTATGGAGTTTTCGTGCTTGGCTTCACATCAGATCCTCGCATTTGGAGTCGGAATAAAATCTTCTGCTCCGTTGTTTAATGACTCAACTCAATTTGCATTGAATGGATACCGTTTCCCAGCAGTTTCACAATGAAATCTAAACAAAACGGGCATGTGTGAAAGAGTAGACGCTTTCGCATGAGGATGATAGTACCAAGACAAAATGCCAAGGGATGAAGGGTTTGGTGTTGATCATTTTCACAAAAAATCGTTATGCAGTTGACCTTTTCATATAGTGTAAAGAGGTGATTGAATGTATACGGGGCTATACAACAATCTGTAGTGGCCTGCCGGCGTATCAAGTCATTCTCGCTATCTTCCCAGACAATTTTAGCATCAATATGCGAACTACAAAAGGATGGCTGTCCTGATTAATCAAGGCCACAGGTTCGAGCCAGTAAAAGTGTATATATCGCAAGGTACCTCTGACCACTCTATTACATGCTCCTCCATATCGCATTACGTGTTGTAGTTCATCTTCATCGGCATAAATTTGATCTGAGTCAATTTCACTCAAGTGCTACGAAAACAGCGGCCACTTTTGATTCTTTACTAACATATCTCGGCTTGAATCAGCTTTATTAATTGGCTTGGAAGCCGTTGGTACCTACATCACCAATAACAGTTTGTTCCTGATGCACCAAAAGGAAAACCTAATTTTATAGGGTCGAAATCGTACCTTTGTCACTTATTCTTGTCAACGCCTCTATTTCGAGAATTAAAGAAAATTAATAAGTGGTATTTCAATCATACACTTTAGAGAATTTGTTTGAAATTTTCTGAGTTCAAATGTTTCCTTTTTTAGAAATTTAGATATAAGCAGCCGTTTGAAATGGAGAATTTTTTTTTCGTATGTCGATAACGTGTTAAGTGCGTCATATGTTGCTTATTGAAAAAAAAATTCCCAATTTTGGCGGCTCACAAGAAAATCATCATCAGAACCTAAGTGTTAGTAGGTGACCCTGATCATTGCTTGCCTGAGCTACCGTTCTCAATTGGGATCGCTTGTTTAGTTGATAATTATGAATGTGGTGCTTCTTGGACCAATAATTGATCACTTGTCGGATGCGAATAGCTTTGAACAAACGAAAATTCTGCTAAGCGCTCAATATTCCATCCAGGTGAAAATTTGATTCTACTATACCGTCAGTTGATGAATGTAGATGGATTGAGCGCAGGTGTGTGAAAGGCAACTGCTCGTAAGAGCCGACCCCTGTGAAGTCCGAAGGGAAGCTAAGGCGTCTAACAGCAGGACAACGTTACCAGGAAGTCAGAGCTCTTTATGTCATGTTCTGAGCAAAAAAGATAGCTTACATCATGTCTCATGAGTAACAAAATCCTCTCTATTACGTAATGCCAAACAGCTGGATACTCTCGCGAGACACCAGTTGTTACAGGTGTTGCTTCGTAAGTTAAACATGGGAGAACGGGAACGTGTAGCGCAATGAATGGAGGTGCAATGCCTACTGGATCCTTCGTAGCGAGTTCGATCTCGCGCTTCATGACCTACCAAGGTTTCCATCCTTCCGGGATCGATCTCGTATGGAGTGACAAGAACACTGACTCAATCTATCGTCAAGTTATCACATATCATTGCATGAACTAAACATGGTTCTAAACAGCTTTATAATGTTACGAATGGATTTGAATGCGTAACCCACTTCTCGTACTACAACGCTAAGCGTATTATTTTTTATTTTTTAGCCTCGACGGTATGAATTTCGCACTTATTCTGCTCTTATATGTTTCCTACTAGATATTTATGTAATCTTTTCAGTAGGTGGCCCACTGAGTGAATGCTCTTCTTAGCGAACGCGTTTCATCTATTCAACATTCGACGATGCTGTCAATGGTTTTCCTTGGGATGTCATTACCCAAATTGAGAGGCAAAAGGTGGAACGAAAAAAAAAAACGAGAAGAGCAGGCGGAAAATAAAACATAAAGAAAATCTTCTGTAGGAATCTCAATACATTCTTCACTTATCGTATTACCTGACCGCTTTCAAAAATCTTTCAACACTAGACATTATGTTAGTAAGAGAGGTTCGAGTTCTTTTGCTTTCTATACATAATAGCATGAATTTCAACAACTCACAAGGCCTATAGTATAGGGATGATAGGCTACGATGCCGAGTTACTCTGATTTCATAGCAAATCTATGGATGGCGCCAGCTAAGCTACGATAATGTTTTATTTTTATCTTTATAATGAATCTACAAAAGACTACAATGTCGCCTATCTCGTTTGATGTCAACAAATTGGTAGTAGACTTGCTTCTAAGATTAAAAACACTGAATTCATGCGACAATTGCGCTACTGTAAGTTATCGTGTAGATCGGGCACTCATTTCTACGGCGGATTTATAGGATAGTCACTGGTGCTTTATCGCCTACGTGCCAAATTCTGGTCAATATTCATTTCGTCATTCATTTCTCACAATAAATGTTAATTTATATCACATGCGATCTTACGTCTTGTCCCTAAAACTATGAGCAGGAAATAAAACTGATTGATTTATCGACAGAATTCTTCTCAGCGTCGGAAATACCGATTATTTCTTTTCCAGAAGACCAGTAAAATATCTTTTAATCCGCAAACGGTGGACGCGAACAAATTCAATGTTAGTCAAATCATCTTTTTGCATTGTTTGTTTGTCGCTTGTTTTTCCTGAATATTGGTTATCTCATCTAATTATTTGATAATCAACTACTATATATCATTTGGTTTTCCTGCAATCTTGTGGAAAATGAAGAAAACGCTCGCTTATATTTCAAAAGTTTTGGCAGTTGGCTTGATGCATATTATTATTGTAAGCTGTTACTCCACTTGACGACTTCCACGTCATACACAGACTCTTTCTAGAGGTGTTTTTATCCAGGAAAACATAGCTTAGTGACTGGGAGTTTTCCGTTGTAATTGATCGTGTGAATTTTTCATTAATGTAAGAACATTAAAAACTTTCGGAACATCTACAGATGTGTGAAACAGGTTTAGAAAAAACTCAAAAATCATAAAACACATTGTAGTTTAAAGAAAAAGGCGGATTATCTTGGTTGCTCGAATTATCAGCTATTGAAAAACTGCATCATCGACTGTAGCATCCTTTGACGTTTCAAAATTTACTTATTTTCATTAGTTTTTGCACATCCTCTCAAGATATACTCAAACTTTGATGTACTGTAGTAAAATTTCGACCCCGAGTTTCACTTGGCTTCGTTGTGGATGATCAACATTTTGTTTATATTGAAGAGCTAAAACGATTTTCTAAATAACTCTTTGTTATGGCTTGCGTTTCAGCAATTTTAAAGAAAAATCATTGAAACAAATTGAATGAAAATGTATAGCAGTAATAAATAATTATATAAGAAACAATAGGGTAATAAAATTAACAAGAATCTATGAAGATTTCTTTTAATTCATCGATAAAACCGCAGTTCTGCAGTGAGTCCCGTGGTGAGAAATTCGTAATCTCTTCATAAAAGATCTTACAATTACCCCAAAATAATGTCAATGGCTTGACGAGAATGAGAGCAGCAATATTCGAAGCTAACTTATTGACTAAGAACATCCGCATACTTGTTTATTATGCGAGATTGAAAAGATGTAGTCTTGAAATTGAATAGTGGGTTTGACAATGCACTCCATCTCACCATTCTTTTACAGAAAAAGAAAGTTGAGCTCGAAAAACTTCTGAGGCATTTTAAATTATTTTAAGAAATCTACGATTCACCGTAAAAAGGAGTTTCTTGTGATCACGCGTGACCTTATTCTATACTTAAGGATAATTTTCTACTTGAGAGAACAGGATTACCAGTGTAGACTTTGTGGATTTAGGTTTCATTATTAAGTCGATGATAAGTAGAAAACAGTAAACTTTTGGCTTCTGCCAACGCAATTTGAACTCAGGTTGCGCGCTCTGGCAGTAACTGGCTGTGTACATTACGCTTCAACTGTGTCTTTCCGGCCTCCG